GGTAACCCTGGCTGCAATGCTCCCATAGGATGCACTGAAGCATTAACAGCTCACAAATCAGTGAGCAATCACCATTTTCCTGATTTCTTTTTGATGACAAAGATGGGTGAATCCCATGGTGATACTGAAGGCTCAATGTGGCCTTTTTCTAGTTGTTCATTGACCAAATGCTCAGCTGCACTTCTGATAAAGGCCGTTGCTCAATCCAAATTGGCTGAGATTTCCATTGTATCATTATAGGAGATATATTTGACATTATCTACAAAGACATTAAAATTATGGAACTACCAAATAAGCTCCCCATTGCTCTAATACATCTCTACCTATAATGCTTACTAGAAGTTCTAGTACATAAGGTTTAACAACAGCCATTTGTCCATCTATACTAGAAATTGTTTTATATTCCACACTAACTTTAACTACTGATACTGGCCAAGCTGCAACTCCTTTTATATCACACTTCATCATCTGAGTAGTCCAATTAGATGGCCAATCATCTGTTTTAATAATAGTAATATCAGAGCCAGTATCAATCAAACCTTTAAAATATCTATCTTGAATTTTGAAATTAATATGAGGCTGTTGTGTTTGCAACATCATAGCCCAATTGACTAAAATAGGATTAGTACTTCCAAACCCTCCAATCTGCTTTTTAGAAGAGGATCCTATAGGTATAAAAGGAAGAAGAATCAATTGAGCAATCTTATCACCTATTGTAATAGAATATGAGCTATTGGTAGTAATCAAAATTTGAATTTCACCTTCAAAATCAGAATCAATTACTCCTGGGCTTACTATAATTCCCTTAGCCGTTAAACTTGATCACCCAATTAACAACCCCCAAGTTCCTATAGGCAATGGACCATAAATACCCATAGGTATTCTACAAGGAATAGTAGAGGGTGTCAGGGTTATAGTTATGGCTGAGGGAATGTCCACAGCTGCACTGCCGGTGGTTGCTGGGTTGAAGGAAAAGATGGTTGGGTGCCCCCCCATCATCTGTGAGGGGCCTCGGGGAAGGCCCCGAACCTCGTTTCCTGAACGGTGTGGTCGAGTCATTGACAAAGGCTGATTATTTCCTAAAAGTTTACCATCAACATCTGTCTCGGATCTCCAGTCTTTAGCCCAATGCATACCACAACAACAACGGGGACATTTACCAGGCAGTCAGGACGGTGCCTTAGGGCACTGATGCCTCATATGTCCCTCAATACCACAACCAAAACATTTTACTTTCAACTTAACTGCCCCTCTTTGTGAATTTATAGAAGTTGCCAAAGCTTGAGCAAACAGTTGCATTTTTCTAGTTTCAGATTGAATATTACTACAGGCTCGAGCATATCCCATAACATCGACTGTCTCTTTTATGGGTAAAATAGCTCTTTGGCAATCCTCATTTGCATTTTCATAAGCCATGACCTTTATTATTGCTTCTTGAGCAGCAACCCCAGGCACAGAACATTCTACAGCCTTTTGAAGGTGAGCCAAAAATTCTACATATGGCTCCTGAGATCCCTGAATAATTTTAAGCCATGGACCATGCTTTTCTCCCTCAGGTTGTATACGATCCCAAGCTTCAAGGCAGATCTCCTGAAGCTGAGCATGTATAGCTTCAGGTACATTAATCTGCTGAGGAAGCAAATTATATGCTCCTGTTCCTGTTAGCATAGGATAAGTAATAGCTCTAATTTGTGGATCAGTAGAAGCAGCATTATCTCTAGCTAGGGAGGCAGCAAGGTCATAATACCACATAGTCCACTGAATATACTCTGATGGCTTTAGTAATGTCTGGCTAAAATTTTCCAATCCTCTGGAGCAAGATTCCCATAATGATTAGATAAACCTAAAAGAATTTCTTTCACATAAGGTGACTGTGGACCATATAGTGTTACTGCCTTGTGCACCTCAGTAATGTGATCGAGATCTATACCTTCATAAGTAGGAGGCTGTGCAGGTCCATTAACAGAAGGGTGTCAAATAACTGGAAATGCAGCTTTTGGAATAATAATTTCAGAATCAGAATCAGAAGTTTGCACCAATAATTTTGCAAGAGCTGCTGTTATACTCAATCTTCATTTAGGTTTCACTTTCACTTTAGATTTAGTTACAACCAATTTTTTAAATTTCTTTCTCAGCTGCTGAAACATAACTGAGTCCTCATCAGACTCTAATGAATCCTCTGTGTCCTCTGGACACAAGAGGCTTGGGGCTGGAGCTAAAGGCTCTTTCCTACAGTAATGTCTACAGAGGGCTCTGAAGAAATAGCCTCTTGAATCTCCTTAGCAACTTTATTCTTTAACTCCTCAGGAACATCATAGAGATTAACTGCTGGAACATCATAGAGGTTAACTGCCTCAGTGGAAGTACAAAAAACTTGCGTTGGGGACAAACTATTTGGACCTTGATTAATTAAGATAATAGCAGTTCTGATAAGTGCCCACACAGACCAAAAATCATGGGGTATTGTTTCTCCTGTCTGAAATGCCTTTTCCACATTTGTCCTGACTCTGTCCCATACTTCTAAATCTAAAGTTCCTGTATCAGGAAACCATGAATTAAACTCTACAACTATTTGCACACAATTATCTATCTGTTTTCTGGAAACCTGTGAAACATTACTACGAAGAATATGATGAATTAAAGAAACAAAAGGAGTAGACTTACCTTGTCCCATTACCTTTCAATAATTTTTTTTAAATAATTTTGTACTTATGTAAACCCTGCAATAATGCTGTAAAAATGATTTATAGAAACCAACCACGGCTGCCAACCGGTACCAGCCGGTCAACTTATCTGTCACCTCCTTTGGATGACTTTTACTTACTTGGCCAAGACTCTGCCACCTCCTCTGGGTGACTTGTACTTACCTGCAACTCTATCCTGAACACCTTCTCTGAGTGCAATGTCGGGCTCCCTGTTCGGGTGCCAGCTGTCACGGGTCAGTGACCACAATTCAAGCCTGATGGGCTTGGGGGCCCCAAGGTATAGGTGCAGAAGAAATCAGGACACAGGAGATGCAGAGGCATGTGAACCAATGCATACTTTATTCTAAGAAGCAACCTTATTTATAGTAAAACAAGAGGAAGAGAAATGTTCTTCTCAAGCCAACTTATCTCATTCTGACATTTGCAGTACCTTCCTGACCTTTACAATATCTTCAAGTTCCAAGGGCTCAGCCCTTTTTGGGATCTTATCTATCTTTGTAGCTTCATTATACAAGCTTACTTATGTATGTTTAATAGGGCTCAAGGAACTGTCAGTCTCGTGATAGAAATCACTGCAGAAGAACATCCAAGTTCTCAGGGAACTGAAGCTTCCCAGTCCAGGTTTGAGTTTACTTCAGATCAGACCTTACTCTGAATTCACTTCAAATCAGAGCTCGGGCCTTCACATGCACTGGTTTGGCTGTTTGGAGGGTTTTGCTATGTACCAACCATACCAAATCTTTGACGCTTTCTCTCATTTATATTATCATTCTTCATAGTTTTTTTCTTTGTTATCACTATACTTACATAAAAGAAAATGTTCAATTCTACCACATTTCATGCCATGAAAGTCAGTCCTGATTAGACTTTCTGTGTGAATTAAAAATAAAAAGTGTTTCAAATGGAGTTTCAAGCCTCTAACTGTATATAGTAGAAACCAGTCAAATGTGACATGAACAAATGCCATTCAACTGCAATCCTCCATTACAAATACATCTTTATGTGCCTGAGGTTTAGACTTTGCTTAACTAGCATACTTGGAAACAGAATGTGCTAGAATAGTTGGGGCTGCAGAATGCCTGACTTGATCTAGTCAATGTGTGAGGACTGTGAACACACCTAGTCTCAGAACATTTCAATAATACCTGCCTCATTTTAAGCATTCTTTCCTGTCTTCTTAGGTTTAATCTAATATTAATTTAGTGAAAATTCTCGTCGATTACAAAAGATTCATGTGACTGTTTTCCTGTGTCTATGAAGCATGAGACTAAGTAGTCAACTCAGAGGCCGGCCAATTATGAGAAATACAAGATATTTTAATGTTTTCTAAAAAGCAGACAACTAATCTCATTAGTTGATTTTAGATTTGGTTTCTCATAAGCTGTGTCAAAATTTAGACTTGTCTTAATGTCCTTCTTGGTTCTATGGTTAAACTGGTGACCAAAGAAATGTACCTTATGGGCCCCATATCTCAAAAGTTCTTTAAAGGGAAAATATGACCGGATACTGACTTGTGCTTAAGAGAAACCACCATGGTGATTCTCAGCCCGCACACCTACTCGGAAAGAAACAGTTGTTCCAGACTTGTGGTCAGATGTCATAATATGTTAGTTACCAAAAAGAAGTCCTTAGCATCACTCCTTGGAAACTACTAGTCAGGCTTTTTTTTCTGTTGTTTAGCAAGAGGTGAGTGTGTTATTCAGAATTTTTTTTAATTCATGAGTATTATGTAATGGAGAAAACTTTTCAAAGACTTAGAACTGTGCAAATCACCCTGTTGTTGAAGGATCCAAGTACATGTGTAAGTGGGAAGCTGGGCCAGGTTTAAAGATGTGCTCTCACAGTCTTAGGTCCAAAGTATCATTGTTAAAAACTTCATGTTATCTACACCACATTTAGATCTATTATGCAGACTTACACAGATGTTTCTGGTCTCCTCTACTTTCCCTGGAGGACCAAATGTGGACAAATGCTTAGCTAGAGTTTAAACACTTAGACTATGTTTACATATGGTTATTTGATTAAATTTAATTTTAATAAAATAACCTCCTTTGGATGATTTTAAGTATTTATTTTGGCATTAGTTAGACCTTCTGAATTTCTCCAGACATAGATCCCTCTGAAAATCTAAACAGGAAAAAAGAAGAACATCATTTGTTTTGTTTCTTTTGGTTCAATTTTGGTTATTTTAGATTGAGAGGTTTTTAAGTCATTATTGAGTTAGTTTATTTGTACAATTTTTTAAAATAAATATGGTTCTGTGACTTGAAACTCTATCTCTTATGATATTTGTAGTTCACGGCATGTGGAGTACTTGGCAGTCATGGGGTGTGTGCAGCCGAAGTTGTGGGAAAGGTACTCAGACAAGAACAAGACTTTGCAATGACCCACCACCGTCATTCAGTGGGTCCTACTGCAATGGAGCAGAAACCCAAATGCAAGTTTGCAACGAAAGACACTGTCCAGGTGAAAAAACTACAGTGAAAACATTTAACTAACTAATATCCATCTATGTCTTACCCAAGAATGTCACTCAACCTAACATGGCTAGGGTTTGATCTAATATTTTTTTTCAAGATTTGTGTGTGTTTGTGTGTGTGTGTGTGTGCGCGCGCACATGTGTGTATGTGCGAGAGAGAGAGAGAGAGAGAGAGAGAGAGAGAGAGAGAGAGACATCCATCTGTGTGCAGGTGCCCATGGAATTCAGAAGTGGGCATCAGATTCTTTAGAGCTGCAGTTACAGGTGGTTGTAAGCTGCCCAACTCGGGTCTTTTTCAAGAGCATCAAGTGCCATTAATTGCTGAGCCATCTCTTCAGCCCTTTCTGATCACTTTTTTAGCCTGTTCAATTTTAGCATAAATGTTTTTCTCTTAGCACATATGTTTTTCTCTTAATCCAGTTGATGGCAAGTGGGCGACTTGGGCCAGTTGGAGTGCCTGTACCGTGTCCTGTGGAGGAGGTGCCAGGCAGAGAACAAGGGACTGCTCTGACCCTGTGCCTCAGTACGGAGGAAGCAAATGTGAAGGGAGTGATGTCCAAAGTGATTTTTGCAATAGTGACCCTTGTCCAAGTGAGTGTTGGAAACAGTGAGTCAACATCACTTCCTTAAAGCTTCGTTATAGCCTCAAGTCCTTAAAGTTATAGTATTTCGTTACTTTGCTCTTTAATTGAGGATGTTTACATAATTGATTTTACTGCGTCCTGAATGTTACAGTCTTATCTCATCAAGAGCAGAGGCCATGTCCTACTCATAACCTCCAGCTCATGGGATAGTTCATGTAAAACGTAAGACAAATCATTGGAAAGTGTACTCCATCTATAGTCAAAGCATCACTTAAGTCGTCTGCTTTCAGAAGATGCCTGCTTATTGATTTACTGTTTCTGTTTACTGCTGTTTCTGTTTATTTCTTGAAGGATTTTTCTTGATTTGGGGAAGAATGTCATAGCTTTCTACTTCTCACTTTCAGAGCTTTGTGCTTCTCACTTTTAGAGCTCTAGTTTTATGTGAAATCATTTCCTGTTGTAGCCCACGGTAACTGGAGCCCTTGGAGTGGCTGGGGAACATGCAGTCGGACATGTAATGGTGGGCAGATGCGGCGTTATCGCACATGTGATAACCCCCATCCTGCCAATGGAGGAAGAGCTTGCGGGGGGCCAGACACCCAGATTCAGAGATGCAGCACCGACATGTGTCCTGGTGAGCTTCTTGATTCCAGCCTGGGGATGAGTTCATTGTTCTAGCACCATCATTTGCACAGGCAGGAACATCCTAAGATTCTAAAACTGATCCATAAATATTGCACATACCTCTCTTGTTCACAGTGGATGGAAGCTGGGGAAATTGGCACAGTTGGAGCCATTGTTCTGCCTCCTGTGGGCGAGGCGAAAAGACTCGGAAGCGGCTGTGTGACAGTCCAATGCCATCTAGAGGTGGTCGTTCCTGCCCAGGAGATGCCACCCAGGTATCCAAGTGCAACATGCAAGCATGTCCAGGTGAGCAAGGAAATTGTGCTTTTGCAGCTCCACTGTAGCACATTTAGGTCACAGTTTATTGAACAACGCTAACTCAGGAAGGAAAAATTAGCGAAAGATGTGCTTTTTCCCTCTATACCAACGCTCACAGCCGGGGACCTTTTGGCTCCCTTCTGTCCGGGTACAGACTTCTGAAGGTTGTAGGAAGACCAACACTAACATACCTGCAAATTGTTGAAATGGGAAGATACCACTGAACTTCACAAAGCTTTAAGTTTGTTTCAGAAACAAAATGTCCCTAAAAATTAAGAAGATCACTTGGCAGGGTGAGAATGATCTCCGTTAAGTGACTTTTATATGTAAAGGTAGACAAACTAAAAGAGCAAGTGCTCACCACTCAGCTAAGCAGCAAACTTGCTATATGGGTCAAATGGTCACTAGGAGGTCTCAGGCTCCCTCCTGGGACATGGAAACAGTTCTTGTTTCAGATGATGAGTTTCATAGTCCACATAGGTGGACAATTTTGGTCACAGAGTCTGACAAGATTTCAAGAACCCATCTGGGTAGCCAAATCTAGGAGTCTTCTGTTCAGTGCTAGGGCTCAAGTCAAAATAGAAGCTATGCTTGTCAGTAACCATCTGACAAACTGAATTAGTGACCTTACTCTACATGTCCCTATTTCTCCAGGCCAAGGATCAAGGATAAGAACCAGGTGGCCTAGACATTCTCACTGGCCTTGCTCCCTACCTTCCTGCACCATCCTGGAGCATGGTTCCCATCACTATAAATTCTGTATTCCTTTTGGATTTTCAATTTTCAGATGTAAAAAGTTGTACCTCTCAAAAAGGTGGCACATGATGTTTCTTCTGCCTGCAAAGTCCTCCTCCTCCCCTCCCTGGCTGAGTTATGACCTAAGTTTTCTTTAGATCTCCACTACGGAAATTATCTTTACTTCCTTTTCAGACCTCCCTGAGGTATAGAAACCAGATACATCTACATTTCAGCTTCACGTTTACTTGTGGAATTCTGATGAACATTGGTTTCCCATGACATAAGCTCACAGAGCTTCATAAAGGTAGACATCTATATTTTGTGAGTCTTACCACATTTTCCCTAAATATTTAATAAACAAAATCAATGTAAAACCTAACCATGAAGACTGAATCAACATTTTTAAAAGTTTTCTCTCACTAATAAACTAAAATTATGAGGTCCTGTATTTCCGACGTTGTATACAATTGTGTTTCTACACAGTGTATCATAGAAGATAATACCTAGTGACTATTTTAAGCCTCTGCCTTATGACTGCTGGGATTAAAAGCATGTGCCACCACACCCAGCATTAGACGCTTTTTTTTTAATAGAAGAAGC